GATATTACTCTGTTCCAGAGCATATGCATGGCTGCCAGCCTTGAGTTGCAGTCTTACTAACCAATAGAGTGAGCGCACCTCCGTTCTCCCCAATCAGCACTGCTCTAGCCAACTGCGTAAACGCCCACCATTAAAAAAAGGCGGAACGGGAGAGAGACAGAGTGGGATTATGGCGTCTACTGGGTCAGATCGATAGTTAGGCAAATTAATACTAAAGAAAAACGTATGTAATATGAGATTACTTCGGCTTCGAAATGACAGACACCAAACAAAAAAAGTAACTTTAATTTGCAATAACTGTCTCACAACACATCAAGAGCTCCCTTATCGGTTCTGCTTTCAGTACTGGAGAATAAAAGATACATTCTTATATGTATTTATTAGTACATGAACGTTACCTTGCACATTTTATCTCCCCAACAGATTCTAATTTGAAATAAGTTATATAATTATTATAATTATATAATGCATGTTCGCTATTCCCAATTCAGAAGACCGCACACACAGCCTGTGTCTCTGAATGCTTCTCATACTCGCTCCTCTCTGCCGCGTGTCACGGAGGAGCCGTTTACACTTACAATTTATTTTTATTTTTTTCAGGGTACTGATACACATACTGTGCTGCACACTATTGACAATATTAAGCTGAAGCTTGACTTTGCAAAATTAAAATTTTTAAAATAACTGTAAAAAAAAAATCGCAATTAGATATTTTATAATTAGGTATATATATACTATTTATAGAGTTTTAGCTTTTAGTTTTAATTACTTTTTCTTATTTGTAAGTCGCTTTGGATAAAAGCGTCTGCTAAATGACTAAAAAGTAAAGTAAAAAAGTAAAGATATTTTCCCCAAATCGCACAGCCCTAGTGTTCGCTACAGAGCCAAATGGGAGGAGCTGGAGCTAGACACCCCAACCACACCCTAACGCTAACCCTACCCCTTACCCTATCACTAAACATGACTCCACCCATTAGTTCCACAGAGGTGGAGGTCATTTGGCTCTGCAGTGAGCAGTACTTGACACAATCTGCCATGTTTATCTTCACGCTAGAGCATTTAAAGCAGCATTCAAGTAAGAAATGCCATCTTATTACAGCTATAGAAGTTGTTTTTCTGATTTATTTTATTGTTTGGGTCATATTAACAGCGTAGACCCAAACAGCAGGTACTGTATATTACGCTGCTGTCACTTAATACACAAATCTAATATAAACATGCGATATCTTTCCCCGCTGTTTAACTTCACAGACATAACCAACTGTGTTTTTGTAACTCATGCGCGTTTTTAACATAAACTTGTGTGTGAAAGAGAACTTTCGCATGTGAACGTCCAGAAAGCATATATCAGAAGTTTAAAATGATATGGCTTTAAAACGCATGGTTTCAGCATGATAATCAAAACCAAACAGATGTTTTTTTGGCAGATATCTGAGATACCAGCTGAAACGTCACAGGCCTGTCCTGGAAAAGGGGGCGGGGAGCAGCAGCTCATTTGCATTTAAAGAGACATGCACTAAAACAGCCTGTTTCTGCTTCCACTCAAAATAGGCATTTTCAAAATGGTATAATAAATGATCTGTGGGGTATTTAGAACTGAAGACTTCACAGACACATTCTGGGGACACTTGAGATTTAAATTACATCTTGTAAAAAGGGGCATAATAGGTGCCCTTTAAGTAGTTTTAGATTTCAGAGATGTATATATAAAATATACTAGATGTATTTATAAAACTGCATCAAAATGATCAAAATGTTGTATAGCAATTTCTGCTGTTACATCAGGGTTCACTTTTATGTCTTTTCACATTTCCTTTTTTATGAGTTAATGAAAATAAAACATTTGTACTTTTTTTTTCAGAATTGATTGAAGAAAACGAGGAGAATGAAGAATTGAGTGAAGTTGAGGGAAAAAATCACTTCAGAAATGGAGAAAAAACTTTGAGTTGCTCTCAAACAAAACAGAAAGTTTTAAAGAAAAGAAGAGCCAAGAAATCTTTCACCTGCACTCAGTGTGGAAAGAGTTTGACATGCAAATATAGTCTTTATGTTCACATGAGAGTTCACACTGGAGAGAAACCATTTAAGTGTTCACATTGTGACAAGAGATTCAGTCAGTCAGGAATCCTGAAAAGACACGAGATAATTCACAATGGAGAGAAACCGTACACGTGTGATCAGTGCGGGAACAGTTTCACACTGAAAGGACACCTTACGGCACACATGAGAGTTCATACTGGAGAGAAACCATTCACTTGTGATCAGTGTGGGAAGAGTTTCATACACTCATCAAGCCTTAAGGATCACATGAACATCCACACTAGAGAGAAGCTGTACACATGTGATCAATGTGACAAAACATTTTTGTGGGCTTCAGACCTGAAGAAACACATGAATATTCATACAGAGGAGAAACCACATTCATGTTATTTGTGTGAAAAGAGTTTTTCACGTCTACAATATTTAAAAGAACATCAGAAAATACATGCTGGTGTGAGAGAGTACATGTGCTTTGAGTGTGAAAAGACTTTTACTTCAGCTGAAAGTTTAAAACGGCACGAGAGGATTCACACTGGAGAGAAACCGTACATGTGTTCACACTGTGACAAGAGATTCACTCAGTCAGGAATCCTGAAAAGACACCAGAGGATCCACACTGGAGAGAAACCGTATACGTGTTCACACTGTGATATGAGATTGAGTAATTCAGGACAGCTGAAAACACACGAGAGGATTCACACTGGAGAGAAACTATATCACTGCACTGCATGTGGGAAGCGTTTCAATCATTCGTCTTCTCTACACAGACATGCAAAAAACAATCACAGTAAGAAGCTGGGTCTTTCTTTCAGGTCTGATGCCGCGTCCTCACCAAATGTGACACAATAATGCATCAAGCAGTAAAATATCATCTGGATAAATCTGTCCTAACCAGTCATTACAAGCGACATGACAAAGATCTAAAGTTTTTACAGTGAATAAAGTTCAATTTCATCTTCAAAACCAGCAGATTCAACTGTGAGATTCAGATCAACTCAAAGATGGAGTTCCTCTCCAAAGAACAATGTCCAAAAGTTTAAAAAAAATTTATCAGTTTGTTTCATGATATAAATGATATCATTGCTCTTTTTTTATGAGTTTCATATAATGTTCATTTGCCTTATAATGCATATGTGTCACCTGTAGTTTGCTTACTCTGTAAAGAAGGAAAGTTGAAGCTTTTTACAAACTGTTCTTGTGCAGTTACCCGTTACTGAGAGCACATGCTGTTGTAAATTTCTCAATCAAGCTTGTAATTGCCTAATCAACTATATTTCACTGCACACGTGACTGAGATTGAATGAGATGGCTGTGTGTCTGTTAGTAACCCTTATTTTTGTTTGATGTGTTGTTTTATAGATGTTTTGTCGTTTTAAATAGAATTGTTTGATGATCTGCTGTTGATGACGTCATCACTAGCACGTGTTCATTCAGTCAGCGTCGAGTCTTCTGATGTGAGGCCAACTGTTCACAGTATTTCACATATTTACACAAGCATCAAACACACTTTACACGGTTTAAGTAGCATTTTACAGGCTCTTTTCTGTGTTGTTTTCATTGGGTTCAGTGCTACTTGTGCGTATTTTCAGGTGTTTTTCTACTGAAATAAACGTTTAGTGCAGCAGCGAGCATGTGCGGAAAATGTTGAATTTATTCAGACCTGAGCGATTGTGTGTGCTTTTGTATGTTTGTTTGTTATATGAAGTGAAAAGTCAAAAGGTGTTTTCTGCCCTGTCCCAAATGGCTCACTTCAGGTGCGCTTGCGGTCTTGAGGACTTCAGAATGGCCGCCGCGTGCGTGTGTCCACATGACCGTAGTAATCCATTATTATAAGTTTACACCAAGCACTGTAACATGATAGATTTGCAGAAGTAGTTAATTATTAGGATATGCACAGTGGTGGAGGTAACGAATTACAACTACTCGTGTTACTGTAATTAAATTTTGAGTATATATCATGAGTATATTTTTATGTCTACTCTCAGTTTACAATTTTTGTTTCCCAGAACATTCCAAGAACGTTAGTTTTTGGTTCCTAGAACATGACTTTTTCATGGTTTCTTTTTGGTTGGCCAGGAATTTTTCTTAATGGAAATAGAATGTTAGTTTTTGGTTTGTATAAAGTTATTTTAACGTTCCCATAACACTATTATAACGTTACGTTTCCCTAAACTCTTTCCTCCGATGTGATCACCCCACTGTACGTCAGTAATCATCAGAGGCGGACAAAGTACTCAACTCCATTACTTGAGTGAAAGTACAGATACTGCTGGTCAAATATTACTCCATTACAAGTAAAAGTTGTAAAGACAGATTTTTACTTAAGTAAAAGTACAGAAGTACTTGCTTTTAAAAGTACTTAAGTACGACTTTCTACTTTGAGGATCTTGATAGAAATGTAGTGGAGTGAAAAGTACAATATTTGTCTTTCAAATGTAGTGAAGTTAAAGTCATAAGTTCCCAGAAAAAATAATACTCAAGTAAAGTACAGATACTCAAAAAGTGTACTTAAGTACAATACTCAAGTAAATGTACTTAGTTACTGTCCGCCTCTGGTAATCATCCAGCACACTCATGACCCAGTATAGTATAAGTGGCATGGAAATCTGTCTGGATGCCTAATCAGTATTATAAAAAAAACATATTTTGTTTTTATGTATTAATTAATAAAAATAATCTGAGCACATCAACCATCATATAAGATTAAATCTGTCCATTAATGTTAGATTACAGTACCCAGATTTTACACCAGCACAAAATTTGTCTTCAACATGATGTATGGTTTATAATATTTGTTCACAATATAGCTAGTTTTTTTATTTTATCTTTGTTATTAAAAATAAGAACAAAGATGCAAATAAACAGTAGTTTAATCAAGATCAGCGAGTGATTCCGTCTTTTAATGTTTGATTAACATTGAGACAGATCTATATTAGGACCTACTGTAATGCATGGATCTAATATAATGTTACACGTCAGATTTTCCCCCAACCATTATCTAAACGTTCATGTAGGGCACAACAGATTATGTTTGTGTGAATCTCGCCAAGACATATTTCGCATTAATTTACTACTTTATAGGGAGATTGCAAATGTCACTCAGCACGATTGTTTTGTTTGTACGATTATTTTGTAATCAGCATGGGTTTGAAAATCATATTTCACTGGTTTGGACTCGAGAATTTAAAGGGGTCATATGAAGCGATTTCAAGTTTTCCTTTCTCTTTGGAGTGTTACAAGCTCTTGGTGCATAAAGAAGATCTGTAAAGTTGCAAAGACTAAAGTCTCAAATCCAAAGAGATATTCTTCATAAAAGTTAAGAGTCAGCCTTTCATTACACCAAATACACAAAATAATGTTCTTTTTAGCAGCATCATATGACCCCTTTAATATAAATATTCACAAAGCTTGAATTCTGCGCTTTGCAACAATAGACCTTCAACTTGTGGTGAGAAGCAGTAGCAGCAGTCGTCCAGAAGTGAGCAGAGAAGGTACTCCTATCAGAAAACGTACAAATAAAGATCATTTTAGTTGTTTAATTACTATTTGGAGCGTTAGGATCGCTAGAAGAGGACTTAATTAACTCATTTTGTGAAAATCTCAAATTCGACCAAAACTGACATTTTTCACTTCTTTTGCCTGTGAACTCAAAATTAGACTGTGCGCATTCCGACTCATTTTGCCAGCATGGGTCACATATACAGTTGATCTTATTTATTTAATATAATGGATTACAGATGATTATTTTTGCCGAGCAGCGATCTGCTTCTGGATCCATTATATGTCGGTATCTGAGTTTCTCTCAGATCTGAATGATGTGATCGGGTTGATGTGTGTTGATTGAGACAATCGAAGTGAATGTGGTTTGATTTCAGTCTCAAGCTGAGCACACAGAGCGTCAGATTAAACAGCAGTTTGAGAAGCTTCATCAGTTTCTCAGAGATGAAGAAGAAGCTACAATCACTGCACTGAGAGAGGAAGAGGAGCAGAAGAAGCAGATGATGAAGGAGAAGCTGGAGATGAACAGACACATCTCAGCTCTTTCACACACAATCAAAGACATCGAGGAGATGATGAAAGCCAGTGACAATGTCTGCTTTCTGAAGGTCTGATATCTGATGATTGATTGAGTTGTTGATGATCTCTGCAGGAGTTTCCAGTCTCAATGAAAAGGTGAGTGATCTGCTGGTGTCTCTGGTCTCAAAGCCTCTGCAGTTCTGATCCTAAAATATCCTTAAAATAACTAAACTATAAGGTAACACTAACTCACAAACAATGCAGAGTAAAGTAAAACAAACTATTTATATATGAATAATTAACGTCTTCAAAACTTCACACAAGGCCCATTTACAACACGTGATCCGAAAATTAATCGAAACATCTGCAGAAAAAAAGTTCTATGCAATAAACTATGACAACAAATTGAAGCTTCAAAAAGACAACAAGGTCAAGCACAAATTAAGTATTTAGCAGATAAACGCTTAACTTAATATATATATGACAATTATTGACCATATGACAGCAAAAACATTAGAGACTATTCACGTACCGTGCTCTCCGCAATGCTTATCTCGTTGTAAATAACTCCGCCCCTCACTTCCGGTTCTGTAACTGCTGCTGGTGCTGCGGGTCTGCAGCTGGATATATCTGGTGGATTCTACCCCCTCATAATAAACGCTGTACACCGCAATTTATACATTTTAAAAACGTTGTACATTCTGTAATTCACATGATCTTGTTTGTCATAAAGAATGAAGAGTATCTATCATCCAGCAGTTTTAATTTTAATGGCCAACTCTTTAAAATACATCAAAACAGCACGGAAACAGTATTCAGCTGAAGAAAAGATGAAAGTTATTCTCAGTACAATCATCCACATTTAAATCATAAAGTTTGAAAAAATAGATTTAAAATCATGTGTAAGGCCACTGAGACAACGTGAGTATTTGTAATTCGTTACTTCACACCCCTGTTTGGGTAACACTTTACAATAATTAACTAACACTTTAATATACTTTAATACATTAACTAACATTAACTAATGGAACCTTAAGGTGTTATAGTGAAGTGTTACAATTATTTGCTATTAAAGCATATATGTTCACAAAAACACTGTTAAATTAAACAGAAAAGCAAGCAAGTGTGCATGATTTGGCGTGGCAGCCAATACAAATAACAACTGTTTCCTTACCTAAATCCTGCGTTTGGACCAGGCTCGGTTGCAGAATCACATCACTCTGTGCTTCTGAAATTATTATCTTTATATAGTGTAGTAGTTAGCTATCTCTGTGTCGTACGTGACCACTTGTCAAGCATGAAAAACACAAGTTTTATTTAAATTCTGAATATCGTATACAGCATGCAAAGAGTGCCCCCTTCAAATTTATTAAAAACTGTCACTCATTCATCACAATTTCATAAAGTAAAAAAAAAAACAATGAATGTGACTACACAATGAAACTTTTTAATGTCTTTGTTAGAGTTACGAGCATGATAGAACTCAGCACTAGACAAAAAGCGGTGAGTGCGTGGATTCCAACCTAAACACCTCTGATTGGCCATTGCGTTTTAGAAATCAACAAACATCTGCTCACCTCTGCGAAAATGCATTGTAAAATAATTTGAAGCTTTCCAAAGCAGAAGGGCAGATACACTGGATTGTTAGCCAAATCTATTTCGTTATGCTATTATTACGAAGAAAACAGATCCTAGACCAGGGGTTATGGGCAGCTTTTCCATCTGAAAGCAATCAGAAGCAACAGCAGGCAGTTGTATGAGTAAGACTATTATACATGCTAAACTCAAGTTCGACCGTCCCCCTCGGTCCGAAGGGGTGCGGCCCCCCCTCTGGCGCCGGGCCTGCTGTGATTTATAGCATCAAAGTGCCGCGAGAGTGATTTGAGAGCAGCTGGTGCAGCTCCTCCAGAGCGACTGCAGGAGCGCTGATGTCGACACCACTGTTTCACGATTGCATTTAATTCACT